TGCTTAGCAAGTTCCTTGAACAGCAACTTTCATTCTTGAACTCCCCGGCGAGTATTTTTAAAAACAAGTGCGCTGTCGACGCTGCGCTCTGCATTTATGGAAGTTTCCAATGTTTTATTGCGTTTAGCTGAAAATGGGAACGGCGTTGAAGCAGGTGAGAGCCACGAGGAAGTCATGGATACGGGGAGCGCAGAGTCAGCGAAGAAAACTGGAGATGCTGTCAAAATGGATACCTCAAAAGAGCTGGTCATTGTAGACGAACCAGCAGCAGATGCCGCCACGATTGCAAATGACGAAGAGATGCTGGAGGATCCACTGATAGACGTGCCAGCTGAAAACGCGGCGCCAACTGCTAAATCAGCCGTTACAGTTACATCTGCTGCCAAGACTCCAGTGCAGGCTCCGCTGAACGATGACAGAGAGAAAGACATCGCTTCGCGCTCGATTTGGGTTCGCGGCCTGACATCAGCCACGAAAGCAGCCGATCTCAAGGTTCGAATTAGTGCATGCTTTCTGCCTTTTATTGTCCCCATTGGGGCTACGGGTTTAACCTAACCCATTAAAATGTTACGGTCCGTTTGCAGGTGTTATGCACAGAGTTCGGTAAAGTGGTACGCGCCAAAATATATACTTCAAAGAAGCAGACGACGTCGGCATGTTATGGATATGTGACCATGGCCGATACTGCAGCTGCCGAAAAAGCTGCCGCTGCTCTGCACAAGACACAAATCAGAGGACGGACGATTTCTGTGGAGAAGGTAGATTCCGATTTACGAGAAACGTCCTGTGGAGGTGTAGAGACGTGCATGCACTGCTCCGATGATTCTCAACCACACCGGAGATACATACTCGTATCATCATTGAGTTGTTTTTCTTCTCTGGACCCGTCAGGACCACTTCACCGTGCTTAACGCTCTCATAAATGGAACATTGTTTCTCTTCTGCTCATCTCGCTAAATATTGATTTCAAACCTTCAGTTATATATTTAGGCGGATAGATCGAAAGTACCGGCTGTTAAATCTGCCTCTTCTGCTGCTCCTGCAAAGAAAGACGCCGCCAGCGATTCATCTGCTACTCCTAAACGTGACTCTGACAGAAAAAGCGCAGACGACACGAACAAGTTTGCAAAAGCCGCATCGGTTACCTCAGAAAAATCTCACGGTGAATCAAAAGAGGGAAAGAAGGCTGGATCAACGACTTCAACGCAGAAACGCGACGATGCGCGCGGTAGCGACAGAAAACGCGATGACAGAGATCGACGTTCGACGAATAGCGAACGACGCGACAGTGGTACGCGACGCGTTTTCGCATACACGTTGCAGTCTCGCAGTCAGTGCTTGGAGATTTCTTCATTCTAAAATCACTATAAACGCTTTTGAGCCAGTTTTTTTGGAAACGGAGATAAAAGAAGGGTTGTCATTTGCTTCATTTCGGTGTATGACTTTCAAACTTTAAATGCGCAGTATTACTATTATGAGCGAACTTTCGGATTCGTGATGCACAAGTTAAGGATTGTTGCACAAAAACCTCCACATTTTCATACAAACTCTAGAAGAAAGCTGAATTTATTCAACGCTTGTCCTTCAACTCTTACCTCTTTGAATGAATCGTACTTGAGCAGACTTCACGGCGAACGGGCTCCTTCATTTTCTAGCTAGGCTTATATCTGACCGGGTTTAGTATGTTATTTACGCTGCTTTATATGAAGTACTTGCGTGACTGCTTGTTTCTTGAATCATTGCTGAACTTGTTCGTAAAAATGCAAGCGAAAGCTCAACGAAAGCAGCTTGAACTTATCCTCAGGGAGCTGATATCTGAGACAGATATCAAGCTTTTGTTTCTTATTCAGCCTCTTTCTCCGTTGGCAAAAACCGGTAAAAGCCGCGTTGGGAAAAAATCTCAAGAAGGATATTTCTTGGGGGACTCAACAGTGAGGTTGCCGAAATGAAGCAAATGTTGAATTCCCACGTGTACATCTATAGAGTTCAAATTTTGAACAAAGTTAATTTTTGGAAATTGGAGTTATGAATAATTTTTTTAATTACAGAGAGACCATTCAAATCGGATTCGAAGCGTGAGCCGTTTAGACGAGGTCCAGCGCGTGACCCTCGCCGGGATTCCCAGAGAACTATCTCTGCTGCACGTCGTTTCCCTGGATCGACTCGAGGTGTACCCTCTCGTGGTAGTCTACGGGGGCGCATTACTCGTCCGGGCGATAGGGCTAATAGCTATCTTTCAATTCGACGCCCTGAAGCAATGAGTCAACGTGATCTTCTGACATTAATGCGTCGAAAAGAGGAAGAACATCGACGTCGTGAAGCGGAAATTGAAAAAGAGCGTGCACTTGAAAGAGAACGTGAACGCATACGATTTGAACGTGAACAACTGGAAAAAGAGCGTTTGCAATTGCAGCTTCAGGCAGCTCTTCAGCAGCAAAAACTTGCTGCTATGAACTCATCTCGCACGAAGGACTCCTATCTGCCATCA